TAAAGCAAATGAAAAGAGACAGATGGCAAAATCTGAGAAGAGAAATCTAACGGCATGTAAAAGAAAAACTGCTGGGAATGTCAAGTCATAATTAATTATTGGACACAGATATGTGAACATGTTAACAATGTATTGGGTACTAAAATTCCCCTTAAATGTGAAACACTGTATTTGGGTGATGTTCCTGTGACGAATTGGAAAAACACTGATAAAAAATTACTTGGTATGTTACTTATTGCAAGTAAAAAGGCCATCACAAGAAAGTGGCTGAGAGTGGAATCTCCAACTACCGAGGACTGGATCAATATAATACACAAAATATATGTTATGGAAAAGTTGTCTTTCTCCCTCAGGATGCAAAAGGACATGTTTTACAAAATCTGGACTAAATGGACTGAGTACATAAAACCTTTACGGTCAGATTTTGTATGAGCGATACGTTTCTGTACTTGAAAAACGTTGTCTTACGAATACTGGTTTGCTTCCCATATAGGTTTGTGTTCATATATGTTTGAAACTGTGAAAACGTTTAAAAATAAAAATTATAAATAAAAAAAAAGAAAAACTGCAGTTGGATTGAGGGTACCTTGTTGGTCTCAGCCACGCTGCTCTGCCGGGCATCGAAGACGGTGAGCTTGTGGGACTGGGCGTTGGCATCCATGATGACCTGGAGTAAATGTTCGTCCTCTTTGCAGCGCCGGTCTGAAGGTCCGACCAGCGGCTGGCTACAGCGGATAACGGCGGCCTGAGTCTCAGGGTGGATCCAGGACAACACCTGGAGGGAACCAAGACCAGTGGATGAGCACAACTCACGCTAAATCATCTAAACACAATCCATTCTGATTCTCATTTAGCTGATTCCATGTTAGAGTCTCAGGCCTCACACTGGTGTGCTAGCTAGTACCGTCATCTGTTATGGCTACCCCCTAAAATGTGTCTATATGTCCTCAGAGCAGGTGTTTTAAACATCAACTGAGATTAGGATTTTAATATTTGTTGACTGTTGTTTCATCAGTTGCTGTTAAGAACTATAAGGATTATAGGCGTCACGAATTAAACCAACAAACATGAGTTTTTCGACAGAATGCTCTCAGACTAACCGGTAGGCGGTGTTTGGCTCTGAACGAAGCCCCCTGCCTGATGTCCTCCTCTGTGATGTTGGTGGGGATGACCAGGATGGAGGGGTAGGTGTCACACAGCTCATAGTTGCTGTTGATCTTACTGATGGTCCAGCTTTCATTCGGGAGACCCTGATAAAAAAAATAAAAACACATTCATCCACATGATTAAATCGTGAGAGGAGTTTTCGTATTAGCATTCGACATTAGAAATTCACATCACACAGAAGATGATTAAAGTTCTAATAATTCATTTGATTTCTGAATCATTCTTCTTTAAGATCAGGGGGGTTTGAAGGGATGGAAGCATTCCTAACACTGTTTCTATGTCCATCACTACCGGAAAACATGTTCACAGTAGAAAGCTGAGGAAAAATTGTAATATTCAAGATTGCAATGAAGATTTTTGGATTCGCAGCAATTTCATTAAAAAAAATGAATGTTCCATGCTTGTGTTGTTTCCAATTCAGCCATCAGGTCTCACTCAGACCCTTTTAACAGTCTTAGATTAGCAGAAGGTGGGCGGGGATCTTTCCGTAGGAGCCACAGCTGCTGCCATAGCTCAAGAAAAGCCTCAATTATCAAGTAAAATCCTATCTGAGATGAAAGCCGTGCCTCTGCGTGGACACACAGCTCAGCCGGGAGCAGTTACCTGACGCCGGTACTCTGCTGCTGCGTCGTACACCTTCCAGCCGTCCACCGGGAAGAGCTCCTTATACAGGAATGCAAAGAGGGGCTACAGACAAAGGGATGTTAGCAAGGCATGATCGCACTTCTGGGTGACAATTTCAAACATTTTGGGGGAATAAAAGTCCAGAAGCCAGTGTACAGTAGTATAGTAGTATATATCCTGTCATGGCGGTCAGCAGATGATGACTGCCCTCTCTGCTGGAGTCCATCAGCGTATTCTAAAGCTTTATCTCAAAGGCCGTGAGGGACAGGAGAGGCTCTTTATGGGAGGGAGCTGGTTTCTGCTCTGTCTCACTAACAGCTCAAGTTCACGTTTATCTTTTTGTTTGTTCTAGTTAAATCAGTTTTTGTCATCATCTACAGTTTTCTAAAGAATCTTGACCATTAGATTGTCAGTAAAATGGCTTTCTACTGTACCCATCATGGGGTGATAGCCCTACACTGTATGGCGGGTTTGAAGGGCAAAATAGGCATGACTTCCGAAAAACGTGAGACTTACTTGGTTGTGTGAGAGAGGGAAGGCATGTTTGGACAGGACCTCTACCACATCTGGCTGAGTCTCCTCTGTCTGATAGGCGAACCTTAGATTCCTCATGTCCTGATTAGGAAGAACGTTTGAAAATCACTTAATCAGGTCAACTATAATAAACTTGGAGAGGCATAATCTCAAAAATGGGAATGTCCTAAAGACATGAGCTCCTTTTATTGACTCCTTCTGGAGTGAAATGGAGGTGTGTGTGGAGGTACCTTGCAGACCAGCTCCAGTCCCTTTGTGTTCTCCTCCTGGTTGGAGAGATGGCCGATTGCCTCTAGTCTGCTGATAACTCCCAGGTTCACATCGAGAACGAATGGGAACTCCTTTACACACAGATTAACACATCATTCCAGAATTAGCACCTCAGGGCTCCAGCATGCATTCCAGAGAGAGATCATCCAACGCTCACCTTTTCCACTTTGGTGAAGTACAGCTTGTAGTTTGTGATGGTGAGCGTGCCATTGACCAGACCGCTGAATGGACAGATGTACATCACATCCTTCACTGCAAGTCGGTGCCCACACACACACACACACACACAGGGAAAGATAATGGTTTCAAGTCAAGACAGAAATAAATGCTCCAGTAGGATAAATATCCGATGGTGGCTGTCTTATTGGCCGGATCGGGATGAGGATACCTGTGACCTGGATGGTCTCTCCTGGCAGAAGAGGCACCTGGTTATGGAACATTTTGACCTGTGCTCTGTATCCCAGAGCTGGAAGCTTCTAAAAAAAATAAAAGAGCACAGACCTGTAAGTAACAACCAGTATGACCTGTAGCTCCATAAGTCCTTGTACTGGCACCATTCTACTTTACATCCATTCAAACAATTCATCCATTCCCCACTTTAAATTTGATTTCTGTAAAGGCATCTGCTAAATGAATTAATTTTGCTATAAAATGCACATTTCTCTTCAATGAGACACATACAGCAAACATCATTCCCAAATCCATCGATGTTGGGAATGTATTGTTTGGAATGTAAATCCAAACTGAATACAAAGATTTACATTTAATAAAATACTGGAATTCACAATAGAAAGTAAAAAGGTTCAAATGTACTATAGATTTAGGACATTTAAAATCTTCACAGTTGAAGAATATCATTTTAAAATGTGTCCATAGTTTGTCAAAACTATTTCTGACTGCTGAATATTTGTCCATCTCTGCTGTTTCCTTTTTTATACCAATGACTAAATCATGTAAACACACCGAGGAAACAGTGGTCAGCTCAGGTACTCCTAAGGACTCACACAGTGCTGTAAAACTTGGTTTTAAACATTATTACCGAGAGTGGGACCCTCAACAGACCTTATTCATTCGTTCATTCTATGGATGTAAGCGGATCTTCCATGCAGAAGCTGAAACAGGAACAGTGACTGCCAACCTGTTGAGACTGGTCTATGAAGCTACCTAGACCCAATCTGGCTGTCAACATTTCATACCACCTGCAGCAGGACAATTGTGCTGGATTTTTCTTTCTTTAAATACCCATCATCCACTCTAAACCCCCAAAACTCCACCACACACGAATGAAAGTAGTGCATGGGGGAAAGGCCTGGAGGAGAAGGAGCACAGGATAGGTAGAGTGTCAGAGCCACAGACAAACAGAGACTTGCCAAAGCATTGGAGGGCTGCTCAAGATCACTTTCTTCATCATCTAATGAATCCTGCTGCAGTAGAGCGCCAGCACAGACAGGTGACAGACAGAGAGAGAGGAAGAAAAAGAGAAAATGCAGAAAAGTAGACATTTTTGTCATTTCAAAGCACAATGATGACGAGAAGGAAAGCGATCAGTTCATAACTTTACGTTAATCTGTCCGAAGGAGTCTTTACCAACTGTAATGGCCCTTATACCACAGGACAATGTAAAGAACCAGTGGACTGATCTGATCAGTGTTCTGAACAAACAAACCAGCTCTTAAATACATCTTGAATGACTTCCAGCTATCAGCCTGAGCTGCTCAGCCTGTCAGGCAGAGCGGAGGGAAGCAACACAGAGAGGGAGAGCAGAAGCAAGAAGAAATGGAAAAAAAGAAACCCAGACACCATTAGACACCACTGGAGAGCATTTAGCTTCCCGTCATCGCTTCTGTGTAACTTTCATTTTACTGAGCGGTTAACCAGGTGGAGTCCAGCAGAAGCAAAGAGACGCAGAACTCTAAGCCAGGCGGACTGTCCCCCACCCTCCAGGTGGAAAAAACCCCAGCAGAACAGTGTTCCGAATTCAATGGAAAAGCGCTATAAGTACAAGTCTATTTACATCGGTTTCACTATAACGTAGAAACGTTAGCCTTTCTGCACCATTAAAAAAGATCTGCGGAAGAAAAGTGGACCGCATCTGCAAGGTTTTTCCTGTTTTTTAAAAAGCAAAGTACTTTTAAACTCAGCATCAGGGTGGTTCTGTATCTGATGAAAGAGTACACCATACGTTTTCCTCCAAAGCAACAGCAGCCCCCAGCATAAAGGTGTTGAATTATTGAGATCATAACTATGAGTCAGCGTATCTAGAAAGCTGCACGAGGCTTACAGCTACAGATATAAATCACAAAAGAATCATCACTAGTCCCCATCACACAGTGGTCCCACTGTGAGTACGATGTGGCCACATCCCTCTGAAACACACTGGGCAGCAGGAGCGCTCTGAACTGGGTTCAGAACCCTCTGTGAAAGCCACCCTTGTTGCATCAGGGCCAGATCTGATCCCTTGAACAGGAAGGCCCAACAAAGATGTCTAAGTCCTGGCTTTAACTGGCAGGGTGATAGGAGCTATTCAAATTGTTGTCAGTCTCTTCTCAGAATCACCAAGCACAATAACACATTCCTGTGGAGTCTGAGAGAAGGCCAGATACCATATCGCCCAGTTACAAGTAGCTTAGAACTCCTTCTCACCTGGAGGCTAAGTACCACGCGATGTGGTTTGCATCTGGAAACATGGAAAGCTCTTCACTCCTATATACATACATCTAAAGGCATTTTGTTGATTAATGAAACAGAGTTATGTTAGCAAAGCTTTAGGAGCAGCTTTTGATACCATCCATCACAGCCTTCTGCTTCAAAGACTCCAACTTGTTGTTGGTCTGTATTGTCATCGTATAAGCTACATGTTTCTGATAGATTCCAGTTTGTTCATGGTAATGAAGAATCTTTATCCCACGGCTGGGTAAGTCATGGAGTTCCTCAGGGTTCTGTGTTTGGACCGGTTCTTTTCCCTTTATACCTGCTTCCACTAGGTAACATTATCAGACAGCGTGGCATAAATCTCATATTACTGACAACAGTAGAAACCCATCGGTTGTTAAAGGTGAGGCACGTGTTAAAGAGAACTGGGTGCCTCTGGATTTCCTTCTTCTAAACTCAAATAGAATTGTTTTCTTTGAACATAAGCACATAGGAACTGTCTGGTTATATAGATACTCTATGTGGGATTTCTTTTAAATCCAGTCCAGCAGTAAGGAACTTGGAGTTATTTTCTGAGCTCAAGTTATTTTTTCTCCCACATCAAACAGGTCTCTCGGACTGCCTTCTTTCCCCTTTGTAATACTCCCTCTAAACCTGTCTGTGATGCAGAAGAACTGTCCCCTTTCCTGCCGTGTCCCCACGAAGAGAAATACATATACACCATGATAAATAGGTAATCAAATAGGTAATCAATAAGCCATTGTTGTATCAATTTCTCCTTCTACGTTTTGGCTTTAATTGAGCTCATCTTGTGAAATAGCCAATGTACCGCAGCTGAGCCCTGTACTGGTGTCAGTCTGGTCTTATCATTAGATAGTAAAAAAAGTTTGACAGAAATAAAACGAAGGCTATAAACAAACTGAGCCGAGACAAACATTGGTTCACACAGCAGCTTCATTTTTAAGCAACACAAAAAAGCCGATTTGTTTCTGCTGGCTTAAGAAAGGATGGCACCAGAACTCTTACCATGTGAGTCAGCCTCTTGGTTACCTGGAATTAAGAACACAGTAAGAAACCCATACATGATTCATCTGAAAACACATTCTCAACTTTAGCTAAACTGAATTAATACACAAGTATTCTTACTTCATGGTATGAAATGGGTCTTGTACTGGTTCTCTCAGTACTATGTTGAGATAATTCTTTATGACAAAGGCAACAGACCAACACATGGAGAAACTTGGACAAGCTTTCATTAAGAAAACATAGCAGTCAGCAGGAAAAACCTCTGAACTTTCTTTTTTTGGATTGCTGTGTCAACATGTTATGAAGAGGATAGTCAGCCTTTTCATTCATGGTACCACCCTGTGCAGGATTCTTCTTTTAACAATCCACTCCTGGAGCCTGGAGCCAGCCTTCTTTATCAGCTTGTTCAGTTTGCTTTGCCACTCTGCTGTGTCACATCATTCAGAGCTAATCCAAGTCATAATAATTCTTGACTTTCGCCTCGTAAGAGTGATTTTGATTTTGTACTTTGTAACTTTTGATCCTCTTTTCAGAGTGATACTTCGATCGTAGCTTTGTCTGCCTGGTTTTTGTACTTTTCCTTGTCTTCCACTCCTTGCGAGTGCGCTTTTGATTCAATTAAAGTTTTTTGCCAAAGACCTCTGCGCCTGAGTCCTGCCTCGAGTTCCACCCCTGACATGTACCCCCAGTGGAGGGCATCACAGACCTGGAGAAGATCCCCACTCATTCTGCACTAATCCTCAGATCATTGCGCACGGGATGATTGTGGGTGAACTATATTGGGAAAGGTGGCTACTTGGTTTATTTAATACATTTATTACACTTCTTGCTATACTTCCTGCATGTATGCAGACATATTAGAGCCAGGGTAGAATGAGCAAACCACTGGTGCTGACAAACAAAAGCTGGGAGGGGTTCACACACAGCAGCACATCCTCCACATGCACTCCGTTTAGCAGGAGCCTAGCCTTCCATAAATCCTACTTCCTGTCAACACAGCGCTTAAAAACAAGAAGGGATGAGAGATAGGACTCATCTGAGGATCACCTTCATGTCTCTGGTCACATCTGGCTGGCCGGGTCGTGACATCTGGCTGGAGATTGTGGCCGCTATAAGCTGTTTACACCACTCCACGTGAGAACCCGTCGGACTAAAGAACAAGAGAGGAGAGCTCAGTCAAACTCACCACAATAATACTTGTGTGTTTTCAGAACAGTGAACAAATGAGCAATTATTACAGTTACTTTGATTGTTTTTATCAGTAAAACTCCATTCTTATCAATGTTTTTAAATCAAAACAATCTAGTACTCAAAAAGATAATCAGTCCCTATTAACAAGACAAATATAAAACAGCAAAAACACTGTAAACTGAAATTAAAGGAGAAAAAACCAAATTTGCATATAAATACAGGGATATGGAAGGCCCCATGGCTTTTACACATTTGGAAAGGAGTAGAAAAAGGTTAACATTTATTCCATCCTAATGCTTTAGATAAGTTCAACTCTTCACAGGTATTTGGCAGCACATTTTCCTACATTTTACCACGTTATTGCTGATTAGAATTTGATTTCTTCATTTCAAATCATTTTTACTTAACATTTGACTGTTAAAGAGTGGATTAGTGTTTTCATCAGATCTGACATTGTGTGTAGTTCTTATTTGTAATAAGAAAAGTTCCCCACACCTCCACATGGGAGCTTGTGCAGGTTAGCACCAGCAAACTTTAAGAAAAAAAAGCCTTTTCTAGGTGTTTGAAATACTTTGGTTTGGTCAAAATAAAAGTGCTTCAAAACACGTTTGTTTTGAGTATGTTAAACATGTTATTTCCGAGAAAAATTATAACTTTTTTTAATCTTCCATAATTTCAGTGGAGTTGAACTTCAGAGATAGTTTATTTTAGTACTCTTACTGGAGAGTGAAGGCAGCTGGTAAACTATGGGGGCGTCCAGAAAAGTTTAAGCTTCTCTAAACTCTAAACTGTCTTTTCTTAAAGAATATTGGGGGTTTGAAGGTGATGCCCCCCCCTCAAACATCCGTCTCTGCTCTTTTACAGTCTCAGAGCGTCCCTCCTCTCCATCGGGTGGAGGTTCAGCTCTCTGTGGAGCTGCCGTTTGGTTTCCTCCAGCTTCCGGTTGAAGGTGGAGGAAACCAAACCCCAGCCTGAGGGCCAGAGTCTCTGCTGGGGGGGGGGGGGGGGGGGGAGATCTGCAGCTCTGGGGGGCTGACGGCCCGGCTCCTGTGATGGAGCAGACTCCTTCTGTTTGGTGGAGCCTCCGTTTGGCTCCCACGCCATGAATCATCCACTTTGTTTTAGAAAAAACGAGTTCAGTCGATGCTCTTAAGGCTGTCGTGGTGCATTACAGCTTTGCTGATCAGCTCCATAGGTTCAATCATTTTTCTCACTATAAATACTATAAATACTCAGTTTTCTGTTATCCTACCTTAGCTTCTTACAGTTAACAGACACATTGCTCATGAAACCTGAAGTTTCAGTTTCCTGTTGGTAAGCTGCACAGAATGCTCCATCTGTGCGTGGGGGGGGGGGGGGTTAAGGGGGGGGGGGAGTCAGACTGGGGCGGCTCAGGTTGTTGTCGTGGCCCTCAGAGCCCCCTACAGACCCCCCTGAAGACCCCCGGGGCCCCCTACAGACCCCCGGGGCCCCCTACAGACCCCCGGGACCCCCTACAGACCCCCGGGGCCCGCTGAGCCCACCTGGGGCTTCACCAGAACTATTTCCCGCCCCCAGAAACGGACCTGCTCCGTTAGACCTGCTGAAGGCCTGAAAGAACCCGGAACCTAAAGGAGCCCGTCACCGCTCCAGATGCAAACATCTGTGCACCTCTCAGCAGCCACAACAACGCACGCGCGCTCTCACGCGCGGAGCTCTGAGCGCGACATCCGCGCGGAAACATCCTGCTCTGAGCCGAGCCTCGGCCCCGGAGACGGTTCCGGTGCTCCTCACCGGACCCGTCCCGGTAACCGAGACACCGGACCGGACCGGACCGGGCCGGGTCACCACTGACCTGTCCGGGCCGTCGGCGGCGGGCGGCGGGCAGGGCGGCGGGCCGCGGGGCTTCCGGTGGGCTCCGGCCGGGTCCGCGGCCCCGGCGGCCGGGCTCTGCTTCTCCATCTTTCCGGGGCGGTGGTGGGGGGGTGGGGGCGGGGCGGCAGACTCCGGGAGCACCGGGCTGGGGGGGGCTGGGGTGGGGGAGTGAGGGGTCCGTTAAGCTGAGCCCCGGCAGATGTGTCCGCGGCGGGAGCTGAGACAGAGCTCAGACGCTGTCAGGCGGAAGCTGCCGCTTCCTCTGTCAGCCATTAAGCCCCGCCCACACTACAGCAGGCACGCGCACAGATCACAGACCAGAGCCCACACGAGCGGGAGGAAGGATGGATGATGGATGGATGGATGGAAGGAGGGAAGGAGGGAAAAATAGATGATGCATGGATGGATGGATGGATGGATGGATGGATGGAGGGATGGATGGATGGATGAATGATGGATGGATGATGGATGGATGGATGGATGGATGAATGATGGATGGATGATGGATGGATGGATGGATGGATGGATGATGGATGGATGGATGGATGATGAATGGATAGATGAATGGATGGATGGAAGGAGGGAAAAATAGATGATGCATGGATGGATGGATGGATGGATGGATGGATGGAGGGAAAAATAGATGATGGATGGATGGATAGAGGGAAGGAGGGAAAAATAGATGATGCATGGATGGATGGATGGATGGATGAACGGATGGATGGATGGATGGATGATGAATGGATAAATTAATGGATGGATGGATGGATGGATGGATGGATGAATAGATGGATGGATGGATGGATGGATGGAGGGATGGATGGATGGATGATGGATGGGTGGATGGATGAAGAGATGGATGAATGGAGGGATGGATGGATGGATAAATAGATGGATAAATAGATGGATGAATGGATGGATGGATGGATGGATGGGTGGATGATGGATGGATGGATGATGGATGGATGGATGGATGTAAGGATGGATGGAGGGAGGGATGATGGATGGATGGATGATGGATGGATGGATGGATGGATGGATGATGGAGGGATGATGGATGGATGGATGGATGGATGGAGGGGTGGATGGATGATGGATGGATAGATGATGGATGAATGGAGGGATGATGGATGATGGATGGATGGATGGACTTTTTCTTTCTTATAACCCATCGTTTAAATGCAGACATATGAACATATCTTGGTATATATTGCTCCATGTCAGCTGTAATATATGTTCAAAATAAACTGGTAAGTCAAAAGGTCAATAGTTTGGATTTAGCTTGCATAATACCACAACATAAAATATCTTAATTAAAAAATAATATGTGGCAAAGAGTTGTCCACAGTCCACAGACATTAGCTAAAGGCCAGAGGAGAAGCCTGTAGGACTTGTTCTGACCCTCTGGTGTAGAGAGGCTGCTGTCCTGGGGGAGAAGCAGGTGAGTGCTGGCTGGACTCAGGGGCCTCTGGACAGGGCCACGGGGGGCGGTTTGTCCCACCACACATCCAGGTGGTGGTTCAGGCTTTGTGTTGCACTGGAACAGGAGAAGTCTTCACAAAGCCCCGTCCTGGTTCAGGCTCCACTCTGACAGGACCCAAGGTTCTGTCACTGACCAGCACTCTGAGCACCAAAGAACCCATGGAGAACATTTTAAATATATCAGCAGACACCACAAGAAGAAGGAAAACTGATGTAACCCATGTTCTCAATATGATCATTTCTGGTATTTATTCTTGGTTATTCACAGCTTGTAACATGTAAAAAACTCTCAATCATTTATTGATAATCTCATATGATCTAACCAAATGAAGCTATGGATGTAAATATTGTAAAATTGTCATGTAACTTTGTTAAAAAGTGCAGAGTTCAATTTTGAGAATTGATCAGCATTATGTGATTTGGATGTAATTTACTGCACGCTCACCAAAAAATAAATGTATTTAAGGTAATACCAACTGTTTGCTCTGATGTTCACTAGTGACAGGACACGATCAGACCAAGAACGGAGCCATGGAAATGTTGCCACAGTTGAAATTGAGAGAAAATAACAACACCACCCATGAGTCAGTCTTCAGTCAGTCTTCCGTGGAAAGACGCACACAGATCACCTGCCTGGAGAAACGTACGTGCGAAATGCTGGCTCTTACTCACCTAAAGCTTTGTCATGAGCTGAGGGTTCTGGAGCAGGAGGTGAATTCCTTCCATACAGGATGGTTGGAGGTCCTGGATGTTTGTCAGAGAGCCTCCGGATGCTTTTAATGTGAAATATTTATGCACTGTAGTCTGCAGTTTTCTTATTGGAAGTGCATTTGTCCTTAGTCAAACTTTAAGGATTATTAGGAATTGGGTCTAAATAGCACTGTGATTAACACCAGACATTAACTTCCTCCATTGTGAGCTGACTGTGCATGGGAGTTTTTCTCCGTGGGGGGCTGGTGACCCCACCTGGGATAGACTCCATCCCCCAGAACCAGAGATGGGATTAAGCTCTTGGTATTTCTCACTAAGAGTATAACTGAATTTGTGTGACTTTTCTCTAATGCAACGATATTCACCAGTCAAACATGCCTTTGCATATTATTGCTGAAATGTTACACAACCTGACTCCTTTTGCTTCCAGGGCTTACATCTGGGATGTCAACTTCCGGTCCTTGAGGTCTGGTGTTTCCCTGCTTTAACAACATCAGGGGCAGCCTCTAGGGGCCAAACACAAGGAAGGAGCTCCCAGTTTCTTCTGGAGACCTCAGACATGGGTCCTTTACATGCAAAAAAGTGAACTCAATGTGTATTCTAGTTCCTTCCGTACAAGGGAAAATTTAACTTGGTAACAGCTGCTCCTTTATGCAGGGCTTTAGTTGTTGAACACTTAAATGTTACTAATGCAAACAGGAACATTGATCTGAGGGCGGAGTGGATAGATTCACATTAAGCAGAGCTGCTGGCTCCTGGTGGAGCTCCATCACAACCTGTTTATGTGGGCCCCCATCCAGGTCCACATCAGCCAGCACGTCTCTTTAATTATCACCATAAACATTAACAGGTTCAGATTCACATGGAAATACAGGAATAAAAAAAAAAACACACACAGGTCGGTAAGTCAGAAATCCTTAAATTAATTTAATCCATTAATTTCAGGAGTATTTACAGAAAAGGAGCATTCCACAAACCGTGTAGGATATAACTTGACCAAAAGAGATACATTCAAAATGTATTCAGATTCCACCTTTTTCTATATATCCAAAAGATTGCAACACATTTAATGTGCATTTATTAAGAAGCAGGATATAACTGAGAAAATCCCTTTGACTGAAATGGGGGGGGTGACAGAGACCTCCGCCACTCCCTCCTGGTTTAGTGCGTCCCAACCAAAAATGCCCTCGTTTAGAAAACACAACACTCAACTAGCCAAGAAGAAATCCAAAATTTATACCAACAATTTCTCAATATTACTTTTCTTTTTATAAAATAGCGAGACTTTACACTTTGTAAAATTACTGTATTTTACACCAGAGAACTTTAGACAGTAAAATAGGTTCTGATTGAGGTAACCACATTATATTACTTGTACAAAGTTTAGAAAAAAAAAAAGAAAAAACAAAACACTGATTTTCACCCTTTTTCTCCTAAAAATGCAACCAACTCACCAGAGTAAATTTTTTGTTTTACGGCCACCTGCTGTTTCACCTTCAGACCTCCTCACTGAAACCAGAAACCTGTCCAGAACTTAAATCATCGGTCAGTCTGCATCTTTCTGCCCACAGGAATACGTTAGTTATCAATCGACCTCTGACCCTGCTGATATTAAACCACAACACAGGATGGAGCTAAAGATTTGAACAGGAAACACACCTCCAGAGATAACAACCAAAGCTGCTGTCCACCCCCCCGTCCCCTGGACTAAGGCACCTTCACTGGACATGCCGTCCCTTTTCAGAGAACTCGCCCCACCAGCTTCCACCTGTCGGACGCAAACATGAGGGGCAGATCTTTGTCCAAAAGTATTGAGTGTGGTCAATCAGGGTGAAGACTGGGGGAGAATTTGAGACGGGTTACGAAAAGATGAAAATCCTCCGGAGCGACAAGCCGGTTCCTAATTCTAAATACAAAATGATGAACTTAATTTGATTTTTCCCTATTTTCCTAAAATGTTTTTGTTTTCTTGATTGTGTAAATATGCCACACAGGGGTTGTTTCTTTATACCTGATACTGATGAAGCAAAGCCAAATGACTTTTTGGGTCAGAGGTTGATGAGAAGTAATGTTTAGACCAAGAGGTGTGCAGTTCTCCCTGCTTCTTACAAGAGACAGACATTTCCTCTGGAGAGGAAATAGACCCTGTTAAATTCCACCGTTTCAGCAGAACTGAATGAATATGGCTTCATTTGGGACTAAACCGATGACCTAACATGGTGGAGAGTCGATGCCCTGTCCCCACCTGCTGGCCAGTCAAAGGGACTGGACCCGAACCTGAGCCCACGCTTTTGTGTTCTTTAAACAAAAAGCCTCTGGGTGTCTGTACAATGTCTTAACACAAACGGTTACATATGTCATCATATGTATGAGTGAGCTCAGGTCCTGGACCTCCAGCAGGACACTCTGTGGCTATCTTCATCATCAGTTCTGCAAAACAGGATTTTTCGATCCGTTTTGATTTTGTTGCCTAGGCAACAATTGAGCTCAGTACAACCGTGCTCACAGAGTGCTAAAAAACAAAAAAACTAATTATTTAGAAGACCAAAATTCAGGATAAAGTGCCAAAGTTGTTTAGCTGACTTCAGAAAATGGTGTTTGGAAGAAGCTCCAACTGAAATTTAAAAGAAAGAAAATGGGATTGTGTTTTTCCACCCTGCAGAGCTGTCTAAGGGGCCCGCCTCCAAACTCCAGACACACATGTGCGTTTTGGACAAGTTGGACTTAAAGTGTTGGTCCAAACCCACAGCATGAGGTCATCTTCCTGACCACGTCCAGCTCAAACAGGAGCCCCTTTGACCTGATGCAAAACACCACCAAGGTGGACAGATAAAAGTCTAGCACCCGATCCTGCTCGCTTTTCCCCTGGCTGCTTCCTTATTGCTCCATACAGTCTGGACACTAAAGCCCAACAGCCTTTTATTCTTCATCCACAATACTCCTAAGCGCAACACAAAAGCTTGACACCCAAACTTAGAATCCGAGGCAAACAGGTAAATGTGGAACAAAAATGGAACTGGTGTGTTCTGTAGAATCCTTCCCAGCTGAACTAAGATGGAAACATGCATAGAAAAGCAAGCTTACACCCATCCAAAAGGCACATGGTCACCCTCTCCTAACCTGGGTTGGCTTCTTCATTCCGCCTTTACAAGTAGAAGACACGATCCAGCATCAGATGCCACTTCCCCTTTTAGTTTTCCTATTTGATCTGAACATCCTGAAAAATATAATAGTCAACTCCTCTCAAATATTTAAGCTAGCGCTAAAGTCTAATCCAGCTGCTCCTGGTCTTTTTGCTCTCAGTGCAGACGTGTGGGAAGAGCTGGAAAACATGACAAAAGCGACAGACACTGCTCTGTATGCGATTCTCAGGTTATAAGGAACTGCCCCCACATCAGTCCAGCTCTACCTGACGCACCAAAGTGGACCCTACAGGGACTAGGACTAGAGAAAAGGAGAGCTGAACTAAACTCGACTGCAGTGCTTTTTTTTTTCCCAGCCACCGGACAGCACATCACAGGCAGAGGCTGAGCTAGGGGTGGGGGGGGTCCTGACCCCCCCACTCTGAAGGAGCTGCTGGTGGAACGCCGGGACTTTACCAGCATCCTCACTCACCACCTTCTGCCTGTTCCTCTCTACACGTTAGGTTACACAATTTGAATTGGAGAATCTCTGTCAGTAAATCGATTATGCTTGATAATGCATTAAAAAGCTTAAAAAACTCTTAAGAAAACCTGAGTTAAATCATGGTTAGGCTTCTATCATGAGGAGGGGATTCTCAGAATGAATTTGGATGCGGAGCTGTTAGAAAGTTGGGATCACAGTACGGTTGGCAGCGAGCTGTGCTGCTGCGTTGGAGCCCTTGGACTGAGCGCCGCTGAATAACTTTAAGGCTGCGGGATGAGAGTACTGAGAGCATCCACACAAGGCTTTACTGTGACATATTGCATAAATCACCATCTTTACCACTATTAGTTACCAATCAAAATGATTTGAATGTAGTCCCAATGTGTGTGTGTGTGAGTGTGTGTGGGCTCAGAGCGGCGTCTGTAGGTGTGTGTACTGTGACGGGGAGGAGGCGGTGTTGGGGGGGCTGGAGTTAGTCAGGTGGGAGGAGGTGGAGGAGTCGGACAACTGCAGCTGCTCCAGTTTCTTCAAGTATTCGTCTCTGAGGGCCAGGAGCTCCCTGTAGCGCTGCTCCACCGGGCTCTGCTGCTGTAACACACACACACACACAGTCACACAACACACAACGCACAACCGCTGCTCCACCGGGCTCTGCTGCTGCAGGAACACACACACACACAGTCACACAACACACAACGCACAACCGCTGCTCCACCGGGCTCTGCTGCTGTAACACACACACACACACACACA